CATTTACAAAATGAGGTTCTTAACAGGGCCTCCTGAAAGCATTTGGGGCCACAGGTTAAAAGCTGTTTAGATCTTTAGTGTAATATGAATAATAACGAATGTAATAATAATAATAATAATAAAACATATTTTCTATAAAATTAGTTATTACTCTCATTGCTGTTGTTATTTTCTCCCTTCCAATATATTTCCTTTCTCTATCACATCCTCCAAAACTACAGTTTGGTAAGCAGGAAAGTTATCTAGTTATTATTTTTGAAAGCTGAGCTTGATAAAGACTTCATGTAACAACTTTCTAAAATAATTATTTAATCTTACAAGGAATGTTATGATTTTTTTTCATTGTTTATTTGCCTGATTATATTTAAAGACTCAAAATAGAACTTTTACATTATAACCTTGTTTATTAATAAGGTCTGGCATTGTGTTGTACAAACTTTAGTCAAAAAGGAGAAAATAGGGTCAATTTTGACTAAAGGAAAATGGGAATGAATTTCAATGAACTGCCTATAACTACAGTATTTTCTGCTTAATTTTTACTATAGATAGAAACCAAGGAGTGATGTCAGAGCAATGGTGGCATGAGAGATACTCTTGTCCTCGCTCCCTGAAATTTCAACAAATTAACCAATTATACCTCAACAAAGAATTCCCTACTCAACACAGAGGCACGCCTGAGAGACCTGCACACTGAAACATCTAAAAGTGGGAAACCAGGAATAAGTGGGAGGTGAGAAGGGAAGAGACCTCAGACCCAGCCTTGCATCCAGGAGCTCACAGGGGCCAGTAGAGGGGAGGAAGCCAGTGGTAGCAGGCACTTCCCTCAGCTGGCCAGGAAGAAGAGAAAGCTACAGGAGGTAGCCCAACAGGGCAAGCAGAGTGAAAAATGACTCAGCCAGGAGACACCTGTCAGAGTGCAGGAGTTCTGCCTCACGGCTCTCCACTGTCAGGTGGGGGTGTTTCTGACAAAGAAATGGAACCACAGAGCCCTGCTGCCCCTTGGGTTCCCAAAACTTGCCTCCCACTGCCCTCAGAGTCAGGTCAAGGAACATTTTATTTGTAAACCAAGAGCTATTACAGTAGAACCGCTGTTTCCCTCTGCTTCTGATCTCCAGGTCTGGTGCTAAACAAACCCACCTCCAAGCAGCATGACTGTATTATCTTACAGAAGCCCTTAGAGGTCAAGTCTGGGAGATCACAGAGGTAAAAAAAATCTTGATCCAGCACCATCTACTGGAAAATAGTAGAAAGACCTCTTCAGAGAATGCTGCTATACAAGGGACATTTATGCCTAGACAAAGGGGATGAGTAAATGCCAAGAGCAACCACAGTAAAAAGGATGATCAGAAAGAAAATGAAAAATCCCCAGAGAGCAAGCTGGAAAACATGGAAATATGTGATATAAATGAAAGAGATTTCAAGATTGCAGTTCTGAAAATACTCAACGTGATGCAAGAAAATACAGACAGACAATTCAGTGCACTCAGAAAACAAATCAATGAACAAAATGAGTACTTTATCAAAGAGATTGAAACTTTTAAAAAGAACCAATCAAAAATCCTGGAAATGAAGGGAAGCAAAGGCAAAAATTAATTAATGGGGGAAAACAAGATGGCGGCGTAGGTAACAGCTGCACCCGACGCCTCCCGCGACCACATCAAAATTACAACTAAAATACAGAACCACCATCCCTCAGAGCCTCCTGAAAGCTGGCTGAACAGAAACCCCACAACCAGGGAGCTGAAGGAGCATCGAGACCGGGAGGAGGGGCGGAGACGCGGGCGGGTCGGGGCTGAATCCCGGAGACACAGCCGCCGGCGCACACCCGGTGCCGCGGTTGAAACTCCAGAGGGAATCTCGGCGGTGGGAGTTTCCCAGAGGAGCGAGGGGTCCCAGCCCCACAGCAGGCCCC